GCAGAGCCAGCAGCGGGTGACTGTTCTTCTGCTTCAGCAGCCGTCTGCCCTGCCGACGCCGCTGCCACTGCCACTGCCACAGCTGCTGCCACTGCCACTGCCACAGCTGCTGCCACTGCTGTGCAAGAGGCTGTAGCGCCTGCGGAACCCAGCGCTACAGCCGACCTTGCAGCAGGTACAGCTGCCGCTGCTACTGATGTGGGGGAGGGAAGGGTGCTTCCAGGGGCAGAGGAGGCGGTGTGGGAGGTGGAGCAGGCGGAGCAGAAGCTTGAAGCTGAGGCTACAGCCACCGCTGATACATTCGTCGCTGCTACAGCCGCCACTGCTACGGCTGGTGAGACAGAGGGTACGTCCCTGCCGGAAGCGGAGGAGATGGCATGGGCGCTAGAGGAGGCGGAGCAGCAAAGCTTGGCAGATCAGCAGCAGCAGATGCTGGTTGCGGCTGCTGTGGTGGTGGCTGTCGCTGCTGCTGCCGCTGTAACCGCCACTGCTCTCCTCCGTTCCTCCAGAGCTTCAGCAGCAGCAACAGCAGCAGCAGCAGCAGCTCCTCACCCTGCTGCCTCTCACGGCCTCTCCGCTCGTGCTGGGTCCCAGGCTATGTCTCTTGGTGGTTCACACGGTGGGTCACAGCTGCAAGGGCCGGCGCCCTCTGCTTCGGCAGGCGAGCGCAGGCAGAGCTTCAGTGGCCAGTCCTGGGGTGCTGCCGCTCCTGCTAGTGGCGCTGCTGGTGCTGCTGCTAGTGCCGGTGGTGCTGTTAGTGGTGGTGGTGCTGCTGCTGCTGCAAGTGGTGGTGGGAACGTCGGCTTTATGCATCCCCAACAGCAGCAACAGTACCACCAGCAGCAGCAGCACCAGGCATGGCAGGCACCAGCAATGAGCGGGGCAGGAGGGGTGGACGCAGGCTGGACGCTCAGCGAGGGAGCTAGGCTCGGCAGAACTGCCGGACCTGGATTCAGCTCCGGTCATGCCGCGGCTGCCACTGCTGCTGCTGCCAGGCCTGCAGGCTCGGCGATCTCGGGGCTGATGCTCGGGAATCAAGGCATGGACTCGGTTTGTGAGAGCACGAGCAACTATTATGGGCCGATGGGGATCAGAGGGGGAGGAGGAGGAGGGAGGCAGCAGCAGCAGCAGAGAGAGCAAGTGCTGCAGGCGCAGCAGCAGCAGTGGGATCAGATGAAAATGGGGTGGCAGGCCGGGGGAACGGGCGGAAGCGTGGGCGGAAGCATGGGGGGAGGCATGGGCGGAGGCATGGGGGGCGCGGGGGGGCATAGCCCCGTGGGGATGGCGCAGATGGTGGCGGTGGGGGACGTGCTGGTGGCAGTGGGGGGCGATGGGGAGGGGGAGGGGGGTGCGCAGGGAGGCACGGGGTCGCCAGGAGGGTACGGGCGGTACAACGCGTTCAAGCCTGTGGTGGTGCGCGAGGTGAGTCCGGTCGTGGTGTGTGAGGTGAGTCGTGCTGTGAGGCTGTGAGGCAGGGAGGCAGGGAGGCAGGGAGGCAGGGAGGCAGGGAGGCTGTGAGGCTGTGAGGCTGTGAGGCTGTGAGGCTGTGAGGCTGTGAGGCTGTGAGGCTGTGAGGCTGTGAGGCAGGGAGGCAGGGAGGCAGGGAGGCAGGGAGGCAGGGAGGCTGTGAGGCTGTGAGGCTGTGAGGCTGTGAGGCTGTGAGGCTGTGAGGCTGTGAGGCTGTGAGGCTGTGAGGCTGTGAGGCAGGGAGGCAGGGAGGCAGGGAGGCAGGGAGGCAGGGAGGCAGGGAGGCAGGGAGGCTGTGAGGCTGTGAGGCTGTGAGGCTGTGAGGCTGTGAGGCTGTGAGGCTGTGAGGCTGTGAGGCTGTGAGGCTGTGAGACAGGGAGGCACAGGGTCGCCAGGAGGGTATGGACGGACCAACGCATTCGAGCCCGTGGTGGTGCGAGAGGTGAGCCGTGCTGTCAAGTTCTCAGTCGGACATGTTGTCCTATTGGTTCGCTTAGATGTGGCAGTCTGAAGGTGGGGCTGCCGGGAGGGTAGGTACGGGCGGACCAACGCGTTCCAGCCCGTGGTGGTGCGAGTCGTGCTATGAGGCTGTGAGGCTCTCGTAGCGCTCGTTCCTGAACATTACACCCCTCCTCCTCTCTTTGCTCTTCCTCACTCCCCCTCGCTCCCCCTCACTCCCCTTGCACCTTAATTTTCCCCCACTCCTCCCCACCAACACAGGGATCAGAGCAGCAGGTGGTGCTCACGCCAGTGAAGCGCTGCAGCCGCCTGCGCATGGCCGTCAGTGGCGCCACCCCCTCTCTCAGCGTCTTTTCCTACTCTCCACCCCCCCGTTTCTCCCCTACTTCCACCAACCCAGGGATCAGAGCAGCAGGTGGTGCTCACGCCAGTGAAGCGCTCCAGCCGCCTGCGCATGGCCGTCAGTGGCGCCACTCCTTCTGTCAGCGGCTTCTCTCAGCCCACCAGCAGCTACGCTGGGGGAGGGATCAACCATGGTGTGGTCAACCGGCCTTGAACGGCCATCATGCCATCCGTGCGCTGCTCGTACCGGTACCATATTCGCATGGCCGTCAGCGGCATTGCGGCGGTGTTACTCCCTCTGCCAGGGCCCGCCCAGCCTTCAGTGGTGGTGGCCCTGATGTTACTGTTAGGTGCTTAGTAAAGCGCATGCTACCGTAGTTGCGCATTTCTAGTGATTACGGTCGAAGGATCCAACTTTGTGCAGTCTAGGTTTTGTTGCAAGGGCCTCGCTTGCTTTTGAGACATCTCAAAAGCATTTTGCTGTGATTCACTTGCCGTAGCTCAGCTGTATAGCTCTAGATGTTGCCACAGATTACTGTAGTGTAGATGTAGTGTAACAAACTTGGTAAATGTACTGCAACATAAGAGTGCATAAATCTCACCTACAGCCTCAAAGAAACAACAAGAAGGTGTGTCTATGAGTTATGGATTGAACAGGGTTCAGATCAGAAACATAGCAGGTGTGACTGAATGAGCTGGTCGGTTATACAGCAAAGGCTCAGCGAAGGCATAGCAATAAAATATTCATCCTGCCTTAACATATCAGGCATAGCAACAAAATAACATCATGGCTCATCCTAACCAGGGCAGGAACTTCTGGGAACGAGGATGCTTGAGGATCGCACAAGGAGTAGCCTCGGTTGTCGTGGAAACACGCCAAGCCTGTACTGAGGATGTCAGTAACTACTCGATACAGTTCAGACCTGGCATGGGATTGAATTTCTTTGCATGGTAGGTTGACTTAAAGCTCGCGGCCCAAATTGTTCAACCTTAGTAAGGTTGAACTTTAGGTGGCGGGAGAAGAAAGTTGACTTGTTGGGAGTTTGGCTGTTTGCTTTCGCCCAGTTTCGCGCTAGACCCTTGGGGTTTTCGTTGACGCGGCAAACCCCTGGGAGCAACCCGGGTTTGCTTCGAGAGTCCCAAATTGCAATCAACATATTGTTGTTGTTCCCTGCTCTCCCATTCGACAAAAAATATCTGGCCAATCAGATTGCATCTCACTTCTAGTAACCACCCTTCGCAACCCAAACAGCACTCAAAACATCACCCCCGTCAACCTTAGTAAGCTTGGCCAGCACGCTCCGCAATTTGGGCCACGAGCTTCAACCATTCTCGGTTGCAAATGCTCACTCTTGCCTACTATAGCATTGCCATTTAGATTGAATGGAGATACACAACACTGCTGGTATTCGTTCTAACGGCCATCCTCATTTCTATACCCGAACAACCCCGAGAACCAACCCAACAAGGTTGGCTCATTCGGTCTCGGAGGTCGTATGTACCCATCTTCAGGGTCGGACGTTAGGTTTGGAAAAGTCCGAACCACAGTCCGAGCCGAGTTGAGCACTCTATAGTCAACTATAACCTGCATGTATGGGTCGAAAGCAGGCTTGGAAACTCCCAGCATCTCCACATATACATCGAACCATGGAGTCCCTTGGTGCCAGAGGTGCTGAAAGTCCTCTAAACGGTACAGTTTGTAAAGGGTACGAAGAGGGTCGAAGAACCCTGGGGTTCTCTCGTTGGTGGCGATATAGAGAGTGCGTCCAGGTGCAACGAACTGGGGAAGCTTTTTCAAGAGCCTGGAGTAAAGGTGGGGGGGGGGGGGGGACAGTGAGCAGGAATAGGGGGAGAAAGGGGGGGTGCGGAGGAAGAAGTGAGTGCAAAGCAGCAGAGTGCATCCAGGTGCAACGAACTGGGGAAGCTTTTCCAAGAGCCTGGAGGAGGGGCGAGAGATCGCAGAAAAGGAACAATGGGGAAGAGGGGAAAGGAGGGAAATGGGTGGGGAGAAGTGAGTGTCAAGGAGGAGAGTGCGTCCAGGTGCAATGAACTTGGGAAGTTTCTTCAAGGGCCAGGAGTAGAGAGGCAGTAGGGTTGCAGAGAGCAGGAAAAGAGGGGAACGGGGGAAAAGGGAGAGGTGGGGGAGTAGAGAAAGGCGAGGGCAGAGAGAGCAGTGAGAGCAGTAGGGGCAGGGGCAGTGAGAGCAGTAGGGGCAGTGGTAGTGAGAGCAGTAGGGGCAGTGGCAGTGAGAGCAGTAGGGGCAGTGGCAGTGAGAGCAGTAGGGGCAGTGGCAGTGGGAGCAGTAGGGGCAGTGGCAGTGAGAGCAGTAGGGGCAGTGGCAGTGAGAGCAGTAGGGGCAGTGGCAGTGAGAGCATTAGGGGCAGTGGCAGTGAGAGCAGTAGGGGCAGTGGCAGTGAGAGCAGTAGGGGCAGGGGCAGTGAGAGCAGTAGGGGCAGTGGCAGTGAGAGCAGTAGGGGCAGTGGCAGTGAGAGCAGTAGGGGCAGTGGCAGTGAGAGCAGTAGTGGCAGTGGCAGTGAGAGCATTGAGGGCAATGGGAGCACTGGGAGCACTGGGTGCATTAGCGGCGTAGAGCACTCACGCAGGGGGTCGTGTGTCGCGGTCGAGGAGCGGCCACATGCTGGGGTTGAGTTTGTCCCCTCGCCTCACATGCTCGAATCTGAGGGATGTGAGGCACCTCATAACAAGTATTGGCTGACTACCCAAGGGAACACTCACGCGGGGGGTCGTGTGTCTCTGTCCAGGTGAGGCCACATGTTGGGGTTGAGCTTGTCCCCTCGCCTCACATGCACCGCGTCATAGTCCCCCCCACCCATCGCCCCCCCCATCTCCGCTGCCAGCGCGAGAAGCTCTGGCCGATGCTGGATGGCACTGTGGTTGCTCTGAATGGGGTGGTCCTTCTGTAGGAATGGGGAAGGGGGTGAAGAGGGGAAATGGGGGAATGGAGAATGAGAAGGAGTCAACTGGAATGGCAGCGCCAGCAGCTCTGGCCGGTGCTGACTGGTGCTGTGGTTGCTGGCAATGGGGTAGGTCCTTCTGTAGGAATTGGAAAGGGTGAAAAGCGAAAAAGGGGGGGTCAACTGGAGTGGCAGCTCTGAACGATGCTGTATAGCGCTGTGGTTGCTTTGAATGGGATAGTCCTTCTGTTGGATCGGGAAGAATTGGGAGAAGAGTGTAAAGGGGGAAGGGGGATTGAGGAGGGCAAGCGGAACGGCAGCGCCAGCAGCAAGGGCCGATGCCGAATGGTGCTGTGGTTGCTGGCAATGGGGTGGTCCTTCTGTTGGGGGAGAGGGGGTAAAGGAGGGGAGAGGGTGGAGGGGACAAAGAGGGAGTGGGACAAAAAGGGGAGGAAGAGGGAGTGGGGCACCTGGAATGCCAGCACTGGCAGCTCAAGCTGATGCTGACTGGCGCTGTGGTTGCTGTGAATGGGGTAGTCTTTCAGGGGAAGGGGGAATTGGAGATGGGAGGAGGGGGAAGAGGGTGAAAAGGGGAAAAAGGGGGGACTAAAGGGGGGTCAAAAAGGAAAACCTGCTAGCAGGTTTGGATAACAGTTCTGGTTGTGGCTGGATGCTGATGTGTCTGTTTTGCAGATGACTAGTCCATATACGCAATTGGATTACATACACTCCAGAAAATAGATTTCTACGATACATTTCATACTGTACACTCCATTACATCACCTCGCTCCTCACTTCCATCGCACGAAACCGCGAATTATGAATCACAAACAACGCGCACCTCGTGGCGCGGCTTCGATTGGAACGGACTGAATTCGCACGCAGCAAAGCCGTAATTAACTCCAGTTCCCCCCACGCCAATCCCCACACACGCACCTCGTGGCGCGGCTTCGAGTGGAACGGGCTGAACTCGCACGCAGCAAATCCGTAATTCACTGCCCGCACGATTAGCGCCGTGTCGTCGTCGCCCACTAGCCGCCTTGTCCTCACGCGCCCCGTCACCACCCGCACAGGAAACCGCAACGAACCTTCCTCCGCTGCTTTCCCGCCTGCCCCTCCCCCTTCTCCTTCCGCTCCGCTGCCTGCTCCTTCCGCCTCCCCCCCATCTCCTCCCACATTCCGCCCTCCCAGCCCCGCATGCCATTTCTCCGCCTCCTCTAGAAAGCCCTGCAGGGGGGTGAAGCGGACGGCGCTGGGGGGGAAACGGGGGAGGGGGACGGTTTGGGGGGATGAGGGAGGGGGATGGGAAAATGGGGTGCGAGAGCGGGATGGGGGATCTTATAGGGCGTTATAGGATACGAGATAGCTCGGAACGTTCGAAAAATGTTACAAGCGGTTTCGCTAGCGCGCGCATTAGCAGAGGGGATTGTAACACCACAATAATTCGCGGCTTACTTGAGAGATGCGAGGTCGTAGTAAACATGAATGGGGTTAACTTGGAATTTCCCCTCGTTGTGCAGTCCATTGATGCACAACCCCATGTCGAGTACGAGCGTGCGATTCAAAACCGCCGCCTCTGCGATTCTACACGACAGGCTGCGATGGAAATGCCGAATTCCCGCGCAGAAATCCCGGTGGCCGGTGACGAAAAGGTACCGACCGTTCGGATCGAAATAATCCTGACGGCTAGCCGGCAGCCATCGCGTCTCCCACCACTTCGAACGGCCGCTTCCCGGCAGCAACACCCTACCCCGCGGCTCCAACAGCTTCTGAATCTCCGGCGAATCTAACGGCGAAAGAATCCGCCCGCCAATCGGGAGGGTCAGCGCCTCGAGCGACTGTTTCACTCGAGCCTTCTTCGACGTACGCGAGGAGCAGGGCACACCGAGTTCCCGACACCGCCTCTGCCGCTTCTTCTTCCCCTTCCTCCGTTTCCTCCCGTTCTCCTTCGTCACTTCAGATTCAATCGACTCTGCATCGCTCCTCTCGCCGCCTCTCTCCTCGCGACTCTCGTCGCTGCTCTCTAACCTGCCCTGATCGTTTCCGCGCATCTTCGCGTCCGCAGACCCTTCTTCCGCCGTATCGTCGCTCCGCGCGCCCCCCTGACCCGTCAACTCCCTTCCCCCCTCCTCTCTCGTCGTCCCCCGTCGCCGCCCCTCCCTCGTTCTCCGCCCCGCTTCTCTCCCTCCTCTTTCCGCAGATCCTTCATCGTCCCCATTCTCACCTTTCGCCATCTCCCCCTTTCCCTCTTGCGATAACTCCCCCACTCGTTCCGCCTCCCCGGAATCCCTGCGGCTGTCGAGATCTTCCCCATTCCCCAGCAGCTCCCCCTCCTCTTCCGCCCATCCGCTCTCTTTCCGTGCCCACTCTATTCGTTCAATTGGCTCTCCTCCTTTACCATCCGCCCCGCTAATGCCAGCTACACCATGATTTTCCTTATCAAGTTTATATATTTCATCCTCGTTAGAAGCCCAGCTCTGACCGACCATAATCAAATCCACCGCGTCGACCCTCGAATCGCCCGCCACGTGGCCGCGCAGAACCGGCCAGCGCGCGAGAAGCACGGTTCCGAGAGCGAGAAGCAGGAGAATCGGCAGCGAGGGAAACCGTGAGGACCGCGGCAGCGACACGACGGCCTGCTTGTGCCCGACACGTGCTGCCGGCGGAGGCATCATTGCAGCCTGCTACAGGCCTAAATTCGTTGGACACGTGCCGTCAGAGAAAACCAAAAATATGAGAGAGGGGGTTCGTGTCGCTTATTGACGGGGCCGCCAGTATTACTTCGAATTTGCAAAGTAGATTTAACGATTGTTCCTTACTGAAATGCTAGATCCACAAAATTACTACTACACCCTCGAAAGAACGCAATAATCAGCCGTCGATTCCGCGGGACTGATTCCGCTGCTGAGTCGTCTTCCGCTGGGGCATGCGCGCAGGCTGCTAGCTACCGGCAACAATGTCTGATCTAGACTGCACGTACCTAGTGCTTGACGGATAAGTATGCCTACTAGTAGTACTGCTCCTGTTGCTGCTGGAAACCGTCTGATTTGATGGATAGGGGATGACTTCCTCTGGGTGCTACCACTGTAACGCTAAATGGATATTGCCAGCACTAAAAATCGCCTACGGAAAGGTGGTAGCTGCTGAACCGTCTTTGGAGACGTCTCAAAAGCACTCTCATCCGTCTCAGGGATCGCTTGCTGCTGTGCTTAGCCAGTTGAAAGGCTTGCAAGAATGTGGCAGCGTATGATTGGCTAACCCTACCTATTCCTACTTTGCTGCGGCCGGCGATTTAGAACTGCTCCTTCGACAACTCTCGGAGACTTGGTAACGCGTCACAGAATCCAGGCTTATGTCATGCCGGTTATGAAATGGCATCTGGCGGTGTAGTCCAGTGACGAGAATACGGGTGGGTTGGGAGAGGTGAAGGTGTTTTCCCCCAGTCCCTCATTTGTCACACGCACTGCCGCAGACGCAGAGGCTCCTTGTACAATCCTTCATTTCCCCTCCCACCCACCACCACCTCTGACTGCCACCATTGACCTGACCACTACAGTACCACTCACATCTCATCGCAACGTGGCGGGATGCGGTCCGGCATGCAGCAGCAGCAGACGGAGCGGCTCGCCCCACTGATTCAACTTATCATTTGTTCGGACTTTTCGTTCGTTGTGAATTTGCTTCGATCACGTTGGACATTCGCCCAACCACACTGGCATGAGTACGGACGTGCAGTCGCGGTCCCAAAACCGCCAATCGAGGATTTCGCCAGCGCGGTGTCAGTCTCTGTTAGGAGTTACAAAAGCTATGACTAATATGCTATTGCACCTCTGGCTTAAAGCCCGAGGTCAGCATGGTTTTTGCCAAAACTACTGAAGGGCTTTAACTGTGTTGGCAAAATGGAAAAAAGGTTCACTTCGGGAAGATGGGCGTGGCGAAAGCGAAATGAGCAACGAGGAGATTGTGTAGTCGTCACTCAACATCAGTTGGAGCGTGCGACAAACCAACCCAACCGAATGAGGAGAAACCACGGAATGTGGAAGCCCAACCTCACTACTTCGGCCTAGAAACAATATACGAGGAAAAAGCATCTCGACAACGCATCAAAGAGTAGAATACGTAGCCGCTCTACAAGTCTAGCCTCCCCTTCCTCATCGAGCTCTTCCCCTCGTCGCGCTTCCCATTGCCTCGCCTCCCGTCGTCGCGCCTCACCTCGCCGCGCCTCCTGTCCCATCGTCACGTCGACCCTCAGTTCCTGGGAGCCTCCGTTAATCACGCCGCCGCTCGCCCGCCGCGTATCTGCTAGCCTCGCCGCGCCTCCGCAAGCCTCGCCGCTCCTCCGCTCGCCTCGCCGCGCCTCCGCTCGCCTCTGTTAGAGGAAGGATCTTGGATAGGATAGGAGGTGCTTTGGTAGAGTTGGTTGTGAGATATATATGACATAGCTATTGTAGGCTATAGTGGGGTAGCACATATGGGGTACAGCTTTCTAGGGTTTGTATTTGTACCCAACTTTCACTTAGTCATTCCCATTCTCGTTCAACTACTCTCATTGTATCGAGCAGGTTCCCTTGTGGGAACTGCGCCTAGGGCCCACCACTTCGATTTTTTTTTACTGCCCGAAGCGCGCTCATCCCGAGTCGCGCCTCGGGCTGTTAACTCGACGAGCCGCACTAGTGGCCTTCCCTCCTTTAGCAGCACTGCCGCCCTACTGTCGCGGCCCCGCCGCCCCTGATTCGCGGCCTCGCCGCCCTGCTTTACCGGCCCCGCCGCCCTGCTTTAGCGGCCCCGCCGCCCTACACCTAGCGGCCCCGCCGCCCTACACTTCGCGGCCCCGCCGCCCTGCTTTAGCGGCCCCGCCGCCCTACACCTCGCGGCCCCGCCGCCCTGCTTTAGCGGCCCCGCCGCCCTAAACCTCGCGGCCCCGCCGCCCTGCTTTCTCGGCCTCGCCGCCCTTCATTTCGCGGCCCCGCCGCCCTGCTTTAGCGGCCCCGCCGCCCTTCCTTCGCGGCCCCGTCGCCCTGCTTTAGCGGCCCCGCCGCCCTGCTTCAGTGGCCCCGCCGCCCTACGCTTCGCGGCCCCGCCGCCCTGCTTTAGCGGCCCCGCCGCCCTGCTTTAGCGGCCCCGCCGCCCTTCCTTAGCGGCCCCGCCGCCCTGCTTTCGCGGCCCCGCCGCCCGACTCTACCGGCCCCGCCGCCCTTCTGCTGCGGCCCCGCCGCCCTGCACCTGGGGCCCCGCCGCCCGTCTGCTGCGGCCCTGCCACTCTCCTCTCCTGCCCGCCACCCGAGCCGCCGAACGCAGCACCACCCTGCAGCGTGCACCTGAGCAGCCGAACGCCGCGCCGCCGAGTACCGGAGGAGCCGGGCCGCCCAGCTGCAGAGCCGCCCGGCCGCCCACCAGCCGAGCCGCCGTTCAGCCGAGCCGCCCAGCAGCCGAGCCGCTATGCAACCGAGCCGCCCAGCAGCCGAGCGCCGAGCCGCCGAGCCGCCCAACCGCCGAGCCGCTGTGCAGCCGAGCCGCCCAGCAGCCGAGCGCCGAGCCGCCCAACCGCCGAGCCGCCCAGCAGCCGAGCCGCCCTACTACCGAGCCGCCCGACCTGCCCTGTCCGGTGAGCGCAGCCCCACTGTCACTGCGTGCCCTTCCCCTACTGCTTGCACTGCTAGTCTATCGTCGTCATGGCTACCCCTAGTGTCCTCACTTTTGACGCTGAGGGTCGAGCCATTGACTTTGAGGTCTAGGTCGATGACCTGCAGCTGTTTTTACAGTGCGATAGGGCGGACGGTCTTTCTCTCTTTGACCTCACCTCTGGCGCCTCTCCTGCCCCTGCTACTGACACTGACCCCACTGTTCGCTCTCAATGGGCCACCCGCGATGCTGCTGCACGTCTTGCTGTGCATCACCACCTGCCTACCACTGAGCGCGCGCACTTTAGTCAGTACAAGAGTGCTCAGACCTTGTACGACGCTGTAGTTGGGCGCTACTCTTCTCCTGCCACTGCTGCACTGAGCCGCCTCATGCTACCGTACCTCTTTCCTGACCTTGCTGCCTTTCCCACAGTCACCGACCTCATTACGCACCTCCGCACTAGTGACACTCGCTACCGCGCCGCACTTCCTGCTGAGTTCTGCGCCAAGAACCCCCCCCCCATGTACATCACTCTCTATTATATCGTCACACGCCTCCCTGACTCCCTTCGCGTAGTCAGGGACCACTTTCTCTCATTCTGTCCCACCACTCTCACTGTTGACCTCCTCGAGAAGGCCCTCCTGGCGGCGGAGAAGAGCATCGTCGCTGTAGGAGCCTCTCGGGGTGACCCTCGCACCCCCATCTTTGAGGGGTGTTCTCCTTCCCCCCTGCTGCCCTCTGTTGCCTCTGCTGCTGCTGCCGACCTGCTTGGTCTTGAGTCGGTCGGCGCGGCGTCTGCCCCTAGCAGGAGACGCCGACCTGGCAAGGGCAAGGGGGGCAAGGGCGCGGGTGGAGCTGGCGGGGGCGGTGGAGGTGGCGGTGGAGGCGGCGGAGGGAGTGGGGGTGGCGGTGGGAGTGGTGGCGGGGGTGGTGGTGGTGGTGGCAGCAGCGGAGGCGGAGGCGGTGGCGGCGGCAGCGGTGGGAGCGGAGGCGGCGGTGGTGGCGGAGGTGGAGGCGGCGATGGCGGAGGGGGTGGAGCTGGTCGGGGTGGTGCCCCGCAGCGGAGCGGCGTTGGTGGTGGTCAGCGCCAGCAGCAGCAGCAGCGTTCTCGGGACATCCCCCCGCCTCAACAGCTCCGTGAGTGGTACGCGCAGCGTCAGCGTGGTGGGGGTTTTGGTCCGTGCACCTACGTCCTTCGCTCCGGCGACCGCGCGGGTGAGCAGTGTGGGGGTGCCCACCCCACCCAGCGCTGCTTTGGCCGCCTGACGGACGCTTGGCATCAGCAGTTCCTCGAGGCTAGTGAGATCCCCCGCTGGGGAGAGCTGTCTAGGGCAGGCGTAGCTATCTATGATCTTGACTTTGATGCTATCCTTGCTGCCATGTATGCTCTGACTATTAGTGATGAGGGTGACTGTTACCGGTGTTTCCCGCCCGACCCGGGCATTGGTACTGCTGCGCTAGGTGCTTGTGAGGCTGCTGCTCTAGGTGCCAACGCGTCTGCGCTCTCAGGTACTGGTGAGGCTGCGCTCTCAGGTACCACGTCGGCTTCGGCCTCCCTCACCTTCACACTTGACTCAGGGGCTTCTCGCTCCTTCTTTCGAGACCGCACCACACTCACGCCGCTTGGTCGGCCGGTTGCAGTCTCCCTGGCTGACCCCTCTGGGGGCCCTGTCCTCTCTCACTTCTCCACTGTCCTCCCGTGTCCGGCTGCCCCCTCGGGCACCTTGTCTGGTCTGTACCTCCCCTCGTTCTCGACGAACCTGGTGAGTGGTGCTGACCTGCAAGATGGGGGGGTTCACCAGTTTACTCCTGCGAGTCAGCGGGTGACCCACTGCTCGGACGCCCGCACAGGCCGACACCTGGCCATGTTTTCGCTTCGGCCGGGGTCGAGTCTCTTCACCCTGAGCACTCAGTCTCCTCCTGTCCCTGCGTCTGGCCAGGTAGCTGCGTTGGGTCAGGTGTTTGCTGCTGCGTCCAGGTCTGGTCCTGAGTCTGCCCCCTGCTCGTGTCGCCTCCTGTCTCACGAGACTCTCCTCTGGCACCACCGTCT